AAAGTTAACAAGTAAGTAAGGAGACAAGAACGCAAGTAGAGCACACGAATAACTTAGGACCAAATTCAATGAGACGGGGCGGGTTATTGGATTAGTGTCTATCCTGTTGAGTTTACCGCTTGCTTTAACTTTTTAATCTATCTCATTTGGTGATAAATAGGGTTTATTTTGCTCGCAAGGTTTTTTCGATGCTCGCCCGCCTATTCAAGCCAATCTAATACTATATGTCTATAGAATCAGAATTAACTAGAACGCATGTGTAATTCCGACAAAAATAACCAAGTAAGGCAATTAGCATATATCTGTTCTAATCGCGAATCCATTCTCCGATACCCGCATTCAAGATCTTATTATATTCAATCCTATATACAATCTATAGTTCTGACTTTCGAGTTCAACAATAAATTGTAGATGGTATTCTACTGTTAGCTATGCAGTAAAATAATTAAGAACAAAACTAAATAAATAAATTAATATAATATAATCAAGCTATATCAACCGCCGTTAAACATAAATAATTAAGAACTACCCATAACCCTAGAACACGAGAGATTTTATCTACTCATAATCGTATGAACAATCACAAAAATATTTTGAATCATAAAACTGCAAATACAAGAATGAAGGATGCGATGATTCCGTGCTCCAAGTATATTTCGTAGCCCTTCTTACCACCAATATATGTCTAACCCCATTCAAAACGAGTTTTGGGGGTATTTATAGATAGGGGTTGGAGTGTCCAAGTCTAAAATCAACAAGAAGATTAATTTTTCTCGGACAAAGGTATGAGGCACCCTCTAGGGCATCATCTCCGCTAGGCGTTGTCTGAGGGGCGATGTTTTGGGCGTGAGGAAATATGGGAGGCGCCATTATTGGTGCCCAGGATAAAGTGGGGCGCCGTCTAAGGCACAATAGTTTCGCGACCTAGCATCGTCTAAGGCACAACAATTTCACAGCCTAGCATCGTCTAAGGCACAATGCTCTACTTCATTATTTTTTATACCTCTTCGTGTAACTTTCTATTTATTTCATATTCAAATGTTCCCACACATAAAATTAACTCAATTAAGCTCAAACTTCACATTATTCATCATTAAACCCACAAAATAAGGCAAGTAATGTCGTAAAACATAGAATTATAGCCAAACATCATCACCCAACTCTTAAACGTTACTCGCCCTCGAGTCAACGAACTAATTACTCTATCTTCAAGCACCTTATGATGCCACACATTCAAAGCACACTATATCTATGACCAAGGTTGATAGCAACAATTAAACTCTAGCATATGCATTCGGCACATACTTTCAATGGCTTATGCCATTTAAAATATTCAAAACATAAACAACATTCTCATAACAATCTTAGCCTACAAAAGTGACTCCATGTCACAATGCGCTCAAGGCTAGTAAACTCATCCTAATAGAGAAGTCTAATAATGTTACTTATCCATCATGAAATCATGTGCCCTCACAACAAAATCAAGGAGAGTAAGCAGTCCATACATTCAAATCAAATGCTCAAATATATTTTAAGGACTCATATATGAAAGAAATCACTCACTCTCACAAAAATTCACATTCATGCAAAAGGTACCATAGACTTACCCATTATGTAAACATCTACAAATGTAGGCTTGATCAATCTAAAATCAATTAGGACTTTATCATGGTTATAATATGGGTTAAAGGACGGGTAGGACACATTTAGGAATAATGACTAATCCTCATAAGCACTTTAACACATCATATAATTACTTTCAAGCGCAACTTTCTTCAACCCAACTCTAAACATCACATGCAAGATCACTCCAAATATGTTTCCTCTTTCTTTAAGCACGGCTTTAACTTACACTCACTAGCAAGGACAAGATGTAATTATTTTTTGTGCTATATATATATNATCCTAAGTAGTTGACTAGTTTACCAATTAGTTGACTGAAAATAAAGTTTGAATATAACTGAAAGCATAAGTAAAACGCAGGAATTAAAGACACCCAGATTTTTATACTGGTTCAGATTTAATGTGAACCTACTCCAATCCGCTTGGGTTGCAAGGGTGTTCTCTCATCAATTGTGTTGATGTTATCTCCGAGCACTAACTCACTTTTGAATCTAAGTACGCTTGTGATATTTTCGATACAATGCCTCACCAATATTTTTCTCTTTTTCTTCTCTCTACTGATTACACAAACTTTGCTAAGATTACAATGCTTGTTTAGAGTAGAACATAGAGTAAGAAGTTGGTATGATCAAAGTATATGATTTTTCCTTGATAATCTGCATTATATACTTGAACTTGATTTGACGTATCTTTGGCAGATCGTTGAGAGATTTGCGATCCCAAGGGAATTGATCCTTGGAATTGATTATGTTATGATTCATTCTAAGAATAAGTGCGGAGCTTCCATAGATGGTCCATGACCGCCGGTCTTTTCCTTCTTGAAAGAAGACCCCCTATAATTGGTCCTTAAGTTGTTCCTTGATCCATGGGATTAATAGCCTTTATTTTCGACACATATGTTCACCAATCAGAGTAGGCGCAATTTTAGTCCAGATCTCCTTAAATCTTGGTCTTTCCTTCTTTATACCAAATTTTCCTGGTTGTCATATCGCTTTAATCTTGGGCCTTCCTTTCTTTCTTCTGTTGACAGTTCTTTTGCCTTCGTTCTTTTACTCCTTCCTTTATTGTCTTCGTCCGTACATCATTGATAGATTTGCTTGCATCCTTCTTTGCATCTCAAGTGATCCTGCAAGCAATAATATGTTATTTTTTATCATTGAAATCTAAATTTAACAATCTCCCCCTTTTTGATGATGACAAAATAACATATATAAAAGCAGTTTACTTCCTTATTTAGTCGACTCCCTTCATGTTGTAGTAGTCAATTCCTTAGTTGACTCCTCCTCAACAAAACACTACTTGCTGAATACTTGTAGTCGACTCCCCCTTAATAGGGCAGTCATAAAAAAATTGTTTCTTCTTGTCTACATGTATTGTAAACTCATTCTCCCCCTTTTGGCATCAGCAAAAAGGATTACAACATTATGCAAACATCTTTCCATTCACAACTAACGACGCAGAAAATAAGTGAGAGTATTGCAAATAGCCTCCTTTAGACGATCAAAGCTAGCATTCACTGAAACAGATACCCCATCGATCCTGTCATGTACGACCTTGAAAGCTTTGACTACATTCTCTGCTAACATGAGAAATCTTGACCCTTATCTTTTAAACACCCGACCCTGTCTCCTTGGAGATGGCATAAATATCCCCAATGGTTGATTGAGTTGAGGCAAGCAGGTCCTTGATGATGGTCAGCCTGTTGTGAATAACAGTCAATTTCTCCACATGTTCGGGATCACACACACCAAGATGGGAACCATATGCTTTAGCTTTCGATTCAGTCTGAACAACCTTAATCTCTCCTTACTGCTTCTTCACCTAGGTACCCTTAGCACAAACATACCCTATACTGGCAAAGGCTCTAGAGTTGTAAGACTTGGTGACAGAAATAAATGGGTAATTGGAAATAGAGATGTTATGGGCTTCTAGGAGATGAGTGATAACCATACCATAAGGAAGACTAGCGGGGTCATCAGCACGTTCAATCATAAATTTTATGACCCAAGAAGACAGTTTGATTCTAAGCTTGGTCACTAGACAATAAACAAGAAAAGTATCTCGCTAAGAGAAAATGGAGAATGAACCAATGCGAGGGAGAAGGGTTGTTGCTACAATGTGAGCGAGGACCCGAGTTTCAAAACTAACATCACTGGAGCCTAACTGGTTAGGAAGGAAATCAGAGGGAGACTCAGCTATGCAACGCTTCACTTGATCAAAGGTAATTTCAAAATCTTAAGGCCAGGTATTTTTGAAAATCATGAAAAAACCAGAACACTTACACTGAAAAATTGAGTCAAACAGAGTACAATCTAGATCAAAGCGCTTACCTAGAACTAAAGATTCTAACTTATCAGGCTTGTTAGGATGGAGATTAGCATAAAACATCCTACTAGGGATTCATAGACTTTAGGAGGCGGTAGAGAGAGGAAGTTTGACCAACCTTGGAATTCGAAAAGCTCTTTTACCTTACAATTGAGGGCTTCCATGTCATTCAGATCGATCACTCTGCCATGGGAAATAGGCTTTTCTTTGAGGATAATGAAGGAGTCTCTATTGGGAGTATCCCAAAAATTGATGTCCGACTCTAGAGAGCTTGAGAGGTCTATTTTGGATTTCTTAGGAGTGAAAGATTCAGGAGGTTTTTTCATGGGTCATTTTCCAAGGGCTTTCTCGTTCATACGGTGAATGTTGTTAGAAAGCTCTGCTTGAGAGGAGGCAAAACCTTCAGAATGATCGGAACCTAAATCTACTGCTTCTGGGGGCTGAGAAGAGGGTTTTTCCCTGGAAAGAGTACTCTTTTGGGTGGAGGCAGAGGGATTTTATGAGTTTTTTGCCATTGAAGAGTTTGGAGAATGGTTTATGAGCGATTAGACCGATGAATGAAGAATTAGAGTGATTGAGAGGGTTAAAAGGAAGAGATTTGATGGTTGAGTACAGAAAAGGAAAAGGCGTCAGTGAAAGGACATGATGGTTGATTTTTCTTTCTAGAAAGTTGTGACTAATGGGAAAAGGAAGGGAAAATGAAGGCGCACAATTAATGATCTCTTACACACAAAAGGAAAAATTAGCCATATAAATAATTAAAAGTAACACATAAGTCCTAATTTTTGAAATTAAGCGAAACAATGCCAAGTAATTCTCTCAAAGTACAAAATCTATCTTCAAGCAAAGGCTTTGTAAAAATGTCTGCCAGTTGATCAATAGTGCTAATAAACATTAATTCTATATCTCCCTTAATGACATGATCTCTGATGAAGTGATGCTTAATATCTATATGCTTAGCTCTAGAATGTGCACGGGGTTCTTTGAAAGACATATAGCACTAGAATTATCACAAAATATTTGAATAGGTTTAAAAGATATTTCATAGTCACCAGTTGATGAGACATCCAAAGTAATTGAGCACAACACTGTCCAATAGCAATATACTCTGCCTCAGTTGTGGACAATGCAATTGAGCCTTGTTTCTTGTTGTTCCAGGATATTAATGCCATTCCCAGTAATTGACATGTTCCACTGGTACTTTTTCCTGTCTTCTTTATCTCATGCAAGATCGACATCTGAAAAACCTTCAAGCTTAAAATTGTTAGATCGTGGATACCATAGTCCATACGAAATAGTTCAGATAAGATAACGAATTATCCGCTTTACTGCTATCAGATGCAACTCCTTAGGAGCAGACTGTAACCTAGCACATTTACACATAATAAATATGATATCTGGTCGACTAGCAGTCAAATAAAGTAAGGATCCAATCATCCCACGATATTTTGTTTCATCCATTGAATTTCCCTTCTCATCTTTGTCAAGACTTGTTGAACGACTTAATGGTGTACCAATTGCTTTAGAATTACTCATGCCGAATTTTTGAATCAATTCCTTTGTATACTTGGTCTAATATATAAAAGTTTCCTTCTCAGATTGTTGAATTTGAAGTCCAAGGAAAAATGTGAGTTCTCCCATCATACTCATTTCGAACTCACTCTGCATGAGATTAGAAAATTCCTTGCACAAGAGAGAGTTAGCACTTCCAAAAATAATATCATCAACATAGACTTGGATAATGAGATTACTTTCAGAGGATTTTTTGATAAATAATGTAGTATCTACTTTACCTATTGTGAATCCATGATCAGTTAGGAATGAACTAAGCCTTTTGCACCAGGCTCGAGTAGCTTGTTTGAGTCCATACAAGGCTTTAGTCAACTTATACATATGGTAAGAAAATTGTGAGTTTTCGAAACCAAGAGGTTGTTTTACATATACCTACTCATCAATAAAGCCATTTAAGAAAACACTTTTAACATCCATTTGAAAAAGTTTAAAACCTTTAAGGAATGCATATGCAATAAGAATATGAATTGATTCTAACTGGGCTACCGGAGAAAAGGTTTCATCATAGTCGATTCTTTCCTGCTGTGAATAGCCTTGAGCTACTAATCTGTCTTTGTTTTTGACTATCTTTCGATCCTTATTTAACTTGTTTCTGAACACTTCTTTGGTTCCAATAACAGTAGCATTTGCTGGCTTAGGTACCAGTTCCCAGACTTGATTCTTATTGAATTGATCAAGTTCATCCTGCATAGCTTGTACCCATCTGGAGTCTTTTAAGGCTTCATCAATCTTCTTTGGCTCGATTTGAGAAATGAGTGCAATGTTTGCCTTCTTCTTGAGAGCTTCTCTAGTTTTCATTCCTCCGTTTGGATCCCCTATGATAAACTTCTGAGGATATTCTGGTTCACTTCTCCATTCATTTGGTTGTGTTCCAACTACCGGAGTAGTTAACTCCTTTTGTGGTTTAGTATGGTTACTAACAGGTTCACTAGTCGACTCTGTGACTATGTCTGTACTATCAGTCGACTTCTGTGACTTGTTTGTCTATGATACTTCTTGACTGATATCTTCATCACCTGCAATGATTCCTTTCCCGACCATAGTGTTACTGTCATCAAATATAACATGCATTGATTCTTCTACAGATAAAGTACGTTTGTTGTAAACTCTAAAAGATCTACTGTTAATAGAATAACCGAGAAAAATACCTTCATCACTCCTTGGATCAAACTTTCCAAGGTTGTCCTTACCATTGTTGTGAATGAAATATTTACTTCCGAACAGATAAAAGTAGCCTATATTAGGCCTTTTATCTTTCCATAGTTTATATGGAGTCTTCTTCAGGATGGGTCTTATGAGACATCTGTTGAGGATATGACATGTTGTGCTTACTGCTTCTGCCCAAAAATGATTTGGCAATGAATGTTCTAATATCATTGTTCTGGCCATATCTTGCAGAGTTCTATTCTTGCGTTCAACTACCCCATTCTGTTGGGGTGGTCTTGGGGCTGAGAAATTATGAGTATATCTTTGATCGTTGCAGAATTCTTTAAAGGCTCTACTTTCAAATTCTTCTCCATGGTCACTTTGTATGGTTGAGATGAGATACCCTTTTTCTCTTTCAATTCTTTTGCAGAAAATCTCAAAAAATTTCAAAGCTTCATCTTTATGAGATAAGAAAATTACCCATGTAAAATGTGAGTAATCATCAACAATAACAAAAGCATATCATTTACCTCTAATGCTAGCAGTTCTAGTAGGTCCAAACAAGTTTATGTGAAGTAATTGTAGGGGCTTGGTTGTGGACACAATGTCTTTTGCTTTGAAAGAGTTTGTGGTTTGTTTGCCAGCTAGCATACATCATATACATGATTACTAGAAAAATTGAGTTTGGGAAGGCCAATAGCTAGATCATGTTTGGAGAGTTTTTCAATTAAATGCATGCTTGCATGGCCAAATTTTTTATGCCATAGCCATGGATCATTAGATATGGATGCCAAACAAATATGACCATCTAGGTTTTCAATGCCGTCTAGAATGTATATATTTTCATACCTTTTTCCTAGCAAAATGATTTTACCTGATTCATCTTCAATGGCACACCTTATTTTCTTGAATTTAACTTTATATCCAGAATCACATAGTTGACTTATGTTCAAGATGTTATAGTTGAGTCCATCCACGAGGTATACTTCTATAATATCACAGTTATTGCTGAATTAAACTGTTCCGGTACCAATGATCTTTTCTTTTGAATCATCACCAAATTTGACATTTTCTCCATTTATTTTTGTGACTTATTTGAATAGATTTTTATCACCCGTCATGTGACTGGAACACGCACTGTCTAAATACCATTTACCTTTTCGACTCTTTCTGTGGTGTTCTTTCAAAATAAAATTATCACCTTCTTTTAGGTATCCAAGCTTGCTTGGGTCCTTGGTCCTTAGTTCTACTAGGATCAGAACTGTTTTTGGGCTTCTAAATCCATCCTGAAATATTAGATTTACCAAATCTACAGAAGGAATATTTATGTCCAGCCTTGTTACAGTAATGACACACATGGGTTGATCCAGTTTTTGATCTATCACTGGTATCAGTACTTTTGGACTTAGTTCTAACAGGTCGTTTTCCAGTTGATTTGTAAGTCACTTGGTTAGACTTGACAGAACTGTGACAGGTGGATTTGTGCATTCAATTGAGTTGCATTTGCAATTCCTGAACTTTATCTTGAAGAACGTCTCTTCAATTTCACAGACTTCAAGTTTGAGTTCCCAATCCTTCTTTTCCCTATTAAGTCTCTTTATTTCATTTAGCATTTTTTGTGACTCTTTTGGGGTAAGATCAAGAATATCATGCAATTTGTTACATCTATCACAATTATAGGGTCTTACCTCACTTGTTTCACCTCCCTCCATGAAGCAAATTTTAGTATCTTCTTTCCAGTCATCGTCTGATACATCTTCATCAGTCCAACAACCAAAATATTTGTTCATATCATTTTCCAAAATAGTCATGAAACACAGGTTTGCTATTTCTTTATGTTCTGAGCTATTTTCATTGCCCCTTCTTTCGAATGATTTGTTTTTATTGAACCCTCTGGAGACTTTTCTTTTAAGATACGAGCATTCAGCTTGAACATGGCTATACCTTCTACATTCAAAATATTTTCCATCATTTTTGTCTTGTTCATTGTATTGTCTGGTTCTTCTAGATGACATCCTTCATTTTTTTTTGTGTTTCTGTAACTTCTCATCAATTCGTTCATATTTCTTGACATCATGGCAATTTCTTCTTCAAGGGATTCTGCGTCGGCATCAATATCGTTCTCAGGTCCTTTAGTTGTAGTTTGAAGGCGAATGTTTTCTTCTTCTTTTCCTGACGTGTTTTCTTGAGATGTGTTTTCTCAATGCTATGGGATCTCCACGTAGTTCATCATATGACAGTTTGTCTAAATCTTGAGATTCAAGTGCAACTACTTTTGTCTGCCATGTGGTAGGCAAACTTCTTAGGATTTTCTGACATGCTCATCACTTGAGTAAGGTTTACCAAAGGCTTTCAGATTGCCAATGATTTTGCTGAATCGTGCAAATATTTCTTCAATGGATTCACCTTCTTTCATCTGGAAGAGTTTATAGTCGTGAACCAATAGATTTATCTGTGTTTCTTTCACTTTGTTAGTTCTCTCATAGGTAACTTCCAGCATATCCCATATTTTCTTGACGGTATCACAGCTTGGAATTTTCTCATATTCTTCTCCACTTATAGCATTATAGAGCAAGTTCTGTGCTTTAGCGTTAACCTGAATAATAGCCATTTGCTCGTCAGAGTATTTATTTATATCTTCAGGATCAGCGAGTGGTTGTCCTGCTGCTGGAAGTGGATAGTTTTCCCTTTTTATAACACGCCATACTTTGACATCATATGACTTTGCATATATTTCCATGCACACCTTCCAATGAGATAAGTGTTGTCCATTGAAATATGGTGGCCTTACTTACGATGTCCCTTCTTGAAAGAGTGCTCCAATAGTCACTTGGTTTGACATGATCTTTTCTCAATATGTGAGACCTTCTCTGATACCAATTGAAAGTACAAGGAGGGGNGTCAACTGAAAATAAAGACAGAATATAACTGAAAGCAAAAATTAAGTGCAGGAATTAAAGGCACCCAGATTTTTATACTGGTTCAGATTCAATGTGAATCCTACTCCAGTCCCTTTGGGTTTCAAGGGTGTTCTCTCTTCAAAGCTCCTTTAATAGTTTCGTACAATTGTGTTGATGTTATCTTCGAACACCAACTCACTTTCTAAGTACGCTCGTGATATTTTCAATACAATTCCTCACCAATGTTTTTCTCTCTTTCTTCTCTCTATTCAGGGGGATAGGGAGGTTGATGAAGATGTCATACATCGTATTGGGGCGGGATGGATGAAATGGAGACTCGCTTCCGGTGTTTTGTGTGACAAGAAGGTACCACTGAAAATTAAGGGTAAGTTCTATAGAGTGTTGGCCAGACCAACAATGTTGTACGGGGCTGAGTATTGGCCAGTCAAGATCGCTCATGTCTAGAAGATGAAGGTAGCAGAGATGAGGATGTTGAGATGGATGTGCGGGCACACCAGGTTAGATAGGATCAGAAATGAGGTTATTCGCAACAAGATGGGTGTGGCCCCTATTAAGGACAAGATGCGGGAAGCGCGGCTTAGGTGGTTTGGTCATGTGAGGAGGAGGATCAAAGATGCCTCGGTGAGGAGGTGTGATAGATTGACATTAGAGGACCTATGGAGAGGTAGAGGTAGGCCAAAGAAGAGGTGGGGAGAGGTGATTAGGCAAGACATGGCGCAGCTTCAGCTGACCGAGGACATGACCCTTGATAGGAAGGTATGGAGGTCAAGGATTAGGATAGTAGAGTAGGTAGCCTAGATTATTCATAACAATAGTATGGGCACGCAGTCTTGCTTTCTGTTGGTAGTAGGTTTCTGTTATTTTTTTCATTGTTGACCACCTTACTATGTTGTCGTT